CAGCAGGTTCCTGAATTAAAATGCCACAAAAGCCGCTCTCCAAGCGCACGGGTCGGGGTCGGGCGTCTCCCGGGAGGCGCAGTGGAAACACGGATTCCTTCTCAATGGGGTAAAGCTCTCCAATGCGGCGCTGCAGGGATGAGCGCTGAGATGCGGCCCCAGCGGAGGTACAGCCAGGACCAAATGCCCCCCTCAATGCTAGGAGCTGCGGTGGGACATGTCCCCCCAAAGCCCCGCAGGACGGGGGCAGCCCCATCAGCCTCCCACTGCCCCGGCGTTCAGGGGAAGGACAAGGCTTGGGGTTTGGAAAGCGCTTTGGAGGACACTCGTCCATCAAGTTCCCCCAAGGCGGGAAACACTCTGGCAATAAAAGCCATCCCCTTGGGTTCCCGGGAAGCTCTGGGCTCCCCAAGTGAGAAGAATCACCCCCCACGCCTGGCAAGGGTTCAACCCAGATGACCACCAGTGCTCCCAGGACCAGGGAGCTGCCAGCTGCCTCCCATCCCATGGGAGCGCTTGGTTCATGCTCTCCACGGAGCCCCAGCATGATCCAGGGGGGACAAAAGGGGGACCTTACCTTCTGGTAGGGCAGTGACACTGATGACTCGGAGGTTGAGGTTGGGGAGAGGCACAGCACAGACGTCCTTCCCCAGCCTCTGCACCTGGGGCAGGAGGAACGTGATCTCGTACTTGTGGAGGATCTTCAGGAATCCCACCTGCAAGGAGGGGGACACAGCAGAGGTCACACCACGCCTCAGGCAGGCAATGGGCTGTGGCAAGAGGTGGTCCCACGTTGCCATCATCCCATCCCATCCTGTCCCCTTCCGCATCCCACCCTGGGCACAGGCACACACACAGCATTGGCCACCCAAGAGCCCACGGGAAGGTGGGCGGCATCAGCTGTGTGGGAGCTGTTTCCTAAATAAATGAGAAAACGTAACACACACGTATAGTTTGGCTGCACAAAGCAAGCAGCAAAAATACCCAGTTCTGGGGCAAAACCCCAGGAACAACCACCCTTCAGTGTCATGGGAGCAGAGACCAGTTTTCCCAGCTGCTGCTTCTGGTCTGTAAGAGCCAAGATGTTTCCAAGAGCGCGCCTTCAAACCTCATTTATCCACTGCCACGATGAAAACCAGAGCCCTTTTCAGAGCCAGTCACCTCCAGAATGAGGTCCGTCTCCATCGCGCTCAACAAAAGCCATTTTGGGAAGGGAACGGCAGGCTCCCCGCCTGCTGCAAAGCTCCGGACATGCCTGCAAACCCTCCCTGTGACAGAGCCCAGAGCACAGCCAGGATCTGGCCCGGCCAAGAGGACGATCCCCTCCCGGGGACGCAGGGTACCCCGTGCTCCCCAACTGCCACAGACCCTGCTGGCAGCAGCGAGCAAGCTCTGCCACAGGCACGTCTCAGCCGGGCACCCTCGGTCTTCCATGCACACATGCGCAGCCCGCTCCAAGCTGCACCTCAAACGCCACATAAATACATACATAATATAGACACACGCACATATACATATCTATCTATACACACGCGGATATAGAAATATATACAAATGCATGCCATATGCTTGCACATTCCTGGCCACGAGCAGCTCCAAGGCATCACTGCAACACAAAAACAACGATGCGCAGCTTTGAGGATTTTAAGACCATGGAAAGACATTTGGTGACCGGCCCTAAAGACCCTTTATCTCCATAGGGGAGAGGATGAGGGTCTCCTCCTGCCCCTGAGAAGCATGGTAGGGCACGGTGTACACCCTAAACCTGTCCAGAAGGAAGAGCTGCGTGGTTAAGCACAGCCCTGGCGCAGACCCACAGGGCACCAGCATGCTGAGCCGGGCTGGTCCCACTCTGCCGTCAGGGCTGGCAGCGCCCGGGGCAGCAGGGAGCTGCCCCCGCTTCCCCAGAGAGGCACGTGCAGTGCCGGGGCGCCCGCGGCACGCTGCACGGCACGGGTGGGAAAAATAATAACAACCACCCACAGATCGGCAATTGCTAAGCAATTCACTGCCGTTTTTAGGGCGATAACCCATCATCCGCCCGATACAAATAACTGACTCAGAGCTGAAAGGGAGTTTCAGATTGCTCTGCTGCACACAACGCTGGAGCAACCCCGATGCTCTCCGAGGGGTTTATTCCTTGGGAGAAAAAGGGCCTCCAAAGGAGAGGATGGGGCAGAGGGACCAGCTTCGCACCAGGTGAAGCAGCCACGACAAAGCTGCTCTGGGCAGAAGACCGACAACCTGCACCTCTGAATCACGGCCAAGTTGCCCATCTCACACCCAGACCCCGCTGCCGCCAAAGCTCACGGCACGCCAACACCATAGCCTCCGCTCCCAGCACTCAGCCCTGCTGCGTGGGAGGGATGAGGAGCCGTGGGACGGGGCAGGTAGCACATGCTCGGGTCTGCAAACCTGCCAGGATGAAATACAAGGTGTCATTAAAGATGGCTTGCTGTCCCCACTGCCATCACGGGACCCTTCTGTGGCTTGGGAGCCCTCGTCAAACCTGAAGCCACACTAACACCCTCCCACGGCCACAGACACGTGGCTGGGGGGGAAGTGAGAAGAAGCCATGGCACGGCTGGTGTGCAGGGTGAGACACAGCTCAGCCCCGTCCGTCCCCCCCCAAAAAGGGGTAGAGGAAACAGTGACACATCCTCCCCCTGCCCCAGGTGCCGCAGGGCCATCAGGTCCCCTCAGTCCACCCTGCCAGGACTGGGCTCTGCTGCTTGTGATCCCACCAGATCCCAATTTCCAGAGGGAGCCCGCATCCCACCCTAGCATGTCCGATGTGGCCTGACAGCCCCGCAAATTAGGCAGCAGCAACACAGGCCGGGAGCCCTCCCCAGCCAGCAGCCCCGGCTAGCCCCAAACCCACCCCTGTCGCTAACAGAGGCTGGATACAGCCACAGGAATCGGGTGCTAAATGGGTGAATCCGGAGCAAAACATCCACATTTATACCTGTGCCCTCAGGAGCATCACAGCTGCCCGTGGGGAAGGACTTGGGTTCTCAGGGTGCTCCCAGGCACCCCTGGGTAGGCCAGGGAGCTAGCAGGGCCAGAAACACCCCCAAATCTGAGACCTGTAATGGAGATGGAACAACGTCCAGAAGGGCAGTGATGGAAAACTCCCTGGAGCAGGCAGAGCCGCAGGCAGCAGAAGCCATGGGCAGCAGGAACCCCACAGCTCAGGGGGATACAATGGGCAGCACTGGGGGGTCCAGCCATCCCACAGGGTCCCCAGGACAGACCCAGCCCCGCTGCCAGGTGCGGGAACACGCCAGGGTGGCACCGGTACCCCCCCTCATCCCCCAGGTCCCAGCTCCCACCTTGACAAGGAAGCTGCCATCCTTCTCCTGCGTCACCATAACCACCGAGTCGTGGAGCTTCTCGTCGAAGTGCACGTGGCCATGGGCCCCCTCGGTGGGCTGGCTGGGGGCAAAGCGCACACCCCCACCCTTTGCCTTGCTGCCTGCATGGGGAAGAGAGGACAGAGCCCGGGCATCACTCTCTGCCCACCTGCAACACACCCCCTTCATCCTCAGCTCTGTGTCTCAGCCCCTGGGGATGGACAGAGGCTGGAGCATGGAGGGGCTTTCCCAGTTTCCCCCCACACCTCTCATTTCAGAAACACCCTGTGCTACGGGCTGGGGAGGGGGCACATGGATACTGGTGACCAGTGGCCACAGAAAGCTCACCCTCCGAGCAGGGGGGAGCACATGGACCAGCTGACGCCCAGAGGCTGTGAGGGTCCCATCCGTTCCTCAGGCTCAGCAGCATTTGCTCACTCCCGTGATTTTCCCAGGACAGAGAATTAGGACAAGCAGAGACATGGACTGTGCCAGGAAGAGGGCACAGGGGGGACAAGGACGGGAGTTAAGGACAGCTTCCCCGGGGAAGGGCTCCCACGCATCCCAGGGTGCTGGGCAGGGCTCTCTGGGACTGCAAAGCTGGCCAGCATGTTGAGAAGCAAACCCCACGGTGCCCTGGGGAAACCCAAAAATGCAATGGCCCTGCGAGGACAGGCACCTGCCTGGGGACACAGCGGTCCCCACAGCCAGCAGGAGCCTGCACAGAGGCAGAAACACTATATGCCCTTTTGCTTGCACCTTTGCAATACGTTCTCTGTGAGCGTCCAAGAAAAAACAGCTTCCCCTCTTCATCCTCCTCCACCCCAAGAAACCCCCTGGTCCGGCCGCCGATCGCATCCATCTGGCAGCAGTCGGGAGCAGATTGCTGCCTCCTTAAAGAAAAGGCTCTTTGTGCCTCGGCAGGCTGGAAACGCCGGAGATTTAATAACTCGGCATTGTTCAGCCGGAACAGCTCGGCAGAAATCCCTTCCCCGCACGCAGGAGAAAATAAGAGACTCGGCCGCTTGCAGAGCGATGCGGCTGCACGTGGCTGTGGTGGGGAAGGAGACACAGATGGCAACCTCCCCACTAAAACGTAGGCAGTCCCCAGCCCCCCGTGATGAGGCGCAGCCACCCTCTGCTCCACAGAGCCTTTATGGGTGCCACAGGGCAGGATGAGCCCACAGACCCATGTGGATCCCGTAAGCCGGCTGTGAGCTGCGTCTAACAGGCAAGGTCCCAGCCTGTTGTTGCTGCTGGGCACCCTGATGCCAGCACCGGACTCAGAGGACACAAGCCCCAAAGCCCGCCAGGAGACTGGCAGGGAAAATCCCAAATATGTGTCTTCATCACGCGGTGCTTGGAGGCAGCGCAGCCGATGCCCGGCACGGAGCCTGGGAAGCCTGGTGGCTAGCAGGGACGAGCGTCTCTGGAGGGCACCCAGCCACTGTCGACCCAGGCAGCCACAGTGCTCGGCTAGCCCCCCGGCACAGCGTGTCTGAAGACCCTCGGGAGAGAGGGAGGTGAGAGAAAGGCAAAGGTGGCAGCCGGGCACCACGGGCAGCTGTCCCAGGAACCGGGTCATCTGCCAGCATGCACCCCGGTGACCTTGAGAGGCTGCACCGCACGGTGGCCCTGTCCTGGCTCAGGAGGAGCCGACAGAAGTCCTCGCACTGGTGGGAGGGGACAGCCCCGAGTAGAGGCCGGATGGGTGACAGTGGCACCTCTGCAGCCCCGGGCACACGGGGTATGGTGGAAGGGGCAAGGGCACCCACCCACGCAGGACTGGCCGTGAGTCAGCCAGCATGGAAATCTCATTAGGGGTGAAACGCAATTTTGCATCCTGCAAACATCCAGCAGCGAAGGGAGGCACAGGCAGAGGTACAGGCAGAGCCTCCAGCAGGCAGGGGCTGGGCACAAAATCACCCAAAGCTGGTGTCTTTTATCTTGAGTCCCCAAGTCCCACCACAGTCATGGCAGGAGCGTCACTGGGACCTGCTGGACCCGACACGGTCAGCATGACGGCAGCCACTCTGGTGCCGCACTCCTTAGGCACTGGGCGGGGGGGTGGGTTTGGGGGTCTGACCCACACCTTCCACAGAGGGGGGGCTACCTGCCTCGCACGTGTCAACAGCGATCACAAGCAGACGCCACCTTCAGAGTCACCACACCCCCTCCAAAATTAGGGTGCCCAGGCCCCAGCTCCCCCAGGGAGGCAGGGCTGGGTGCAGGGAAGCACAGGGGGCTCAAGGTTCCCCCCGCATGCTGCTCCCCACAGGGACCCCCAGCCTCTCTCCCCCATGCTGCCAGGAACAAGGCAGCCCAGAGCAGGGAACCTGCCTGTCATTTGACATCACCACCGAGGGATTGCTCGCCTGGCCCTCGTCCTGCTGGGAAGCTGGAGGAGGCTTCCCCGCGGAAAGCCCCCAGGATGGAGCCGTCCGGTGGCCCTGCTTGCCGGCAGCGGGGAAGGAGCCGCGGAGGCCAGAGCCGTGACCGGGTGCACAAAGGGAGACAAAATCACGCCCAGCAGCAGCACAAAGAGCCTCTTCGGTCTTTGTCTCGAAGCGGTGGAGAGCCGAGCACTGACGCCGCAGGGCACCTCGCACCGGCAGCCTTTTGAGGTCCCCTCCCAGCACCAACAAAGCACCCAACTCCCCGAGCCCGGCACCGCCAGAGCCTTTCGGGGAGGCATCCGGGGTCCAGGAGAGGCCAGGAGCATCCCAGAAGCACCCGATACCCATCACTTCCCACAACAACCCTGCCTGGGGTAGGGGGTGCGGGGGGTTGTGTCAATCACTGGAGGGGGAATGGCAGCTGAGCGATGCCGGCAGCACCCCGCTGGAGCCCCCAGCCTGCCACAAGGCCCCTCCGCAGGCGCTTGCCCGCAAATTGCCGCGG